CCCCCCCCCCCCCCCCCCCCCTTGTTATCGGCCCCGCCTCTCTTGACAACCTGTCCCTCCACTTCCAAGGCCCTTTTTCCCCTGGCTAGCAGCACAGAAACCAGGATGTGACACTACAGCAGGAAGTGATGACTTGGCATTTCTCCTCGTGTTTGCATTGCATGGGCATAACTGCACGTGACTAGGCTCGGCTAACTGTGGCGCGCGATCCCTGAAAAGCGGTGCAGAGTGCCAACACCGTCGAAAGGCTGTAGCGTCTCTGTCAAAATGTACCAACACATAACCCCGTGTTACTCTGTTAACACTTTGTATCACGCGAGGAAACCGCCTGCCTCATGGTTTCATCTTGTGCCATGTAGGTTTTGCCTCCAGAATCAGTAGCACTTTACTGCTCATTGCTTTTTCTCAGGGCGTCAGAGAAGGAATGCCTTTGATGGAGGCAGAGGAGGTTGAGGTGGTGGTGAAGGAGCCAAAGTGGTTAATGTGGGAGACCCATACTCATTGAGTCAAAGCTCTCCTCAGGGTCTGTCTTAATTGGACCGAGCCTTAGAATTGAGAGTGTATCATTACTCAGAGACCGACAGAGTCTCTCTGCAACCTATCCTACCCGGCTCCCATTCAGCTGTGGAGCAGCTGCACACGCCTGCCCGAAATAGTGATCCGAGAACAGCTTTAGAGCAAAGGGTAACATCCATGCTATTTCCCTGTTTACGTGTGCGTCTTGTGTATTATTCAGAGTCACTTGCCATTTAGGGATTGATGATCATTTTAACATTTTGTATAACCTGACGGCAGTCTGGCCAATACGTTTAAGCCATTTTTCATCTAGAACACAGAATTATTTTATATATTTTAGTGTAAAAGATGAAAATGGTTATGAATAAGCCAGTTATGAATAAACCATGAACTGGCTTATGAATAAGCCAGTTCATGGTTATGAATAAGCCAAAAAATAATTGGCGGATTGGCTGATCGATAATGAAAATAATCTTTAGTTTCAGCCCTAGCTTAGTGACTACTCAAGTACTTCAGTATGTCAGTGCCAGCTTTATATTATTGTTCTCGTAGGTTAGAGTATTGTTCCAGAGTGATAAGGAACATCTGTTGTAACAGCACATTGGTGGGTACACCCAGACCCCGTATCACTGTGCTGGAGGTTGCACACCCATAGATCTGGAAGATGATACCGTAGTCGAACACCCATGCAGGCCTCTCTGCTCTGTGTCCCTTCATACTGTTTACCCAGCTGGTTGGCTCCGTCCACAGAATCCGGATCAGTGTGGGACACTTTGAAACGATCTCAGCTGTTGAAAGGCAATGACCCCACTACAGATACCCAGTCAGCACACAATGACAGCCACTCACAGCGTCAGCTGGGAGGAGAGACACTTGTGCGACCCAAAGATAAGGCTCTGTCCTCTGTGTGTGTGACAAGAGTGTGTGTGTGACAAGAGTGTGTGCCACTGGCTTGTTTCGGATAAGTTTTCTAAAAGGGAGGGGTGAACATTGTGGGGAGTCTGACCCCTCGGCGGTAGTGCAAGTTTGTTTTGAGGGCTGTGTGATGGAATTCAGGTTGTCGGAGTGTTGCTCCGTTAAAAGGTCTCTTTGGTGACGGAGATGTATTCTTATGGTTCTTAACTGTCAACAAAAGGAGGCGATCAATGCTAGGTTGACGAAAAAAAGGTTTGCCGTTTCACCATCCGTCACTGTTGGTAGCAGTAAAACATAACTGCCGTCAGCTAACTTGCCAAACGTGCTAGTGTGTTCTTTCATTTGTCCGGATGCTGTGTGCAGTGACACCGAGATAATGTAAACTTGCTCCCACACTGTAAGTCACTCAGGCTACGTCACCAATGTGAGATGTGTGTGTATTGTGTCCTGGTTCACTTCTTTTCAATACAAACCTGCTATGAAGAGAGATTTGTCCTTTTGCTCTTCCCTTTTTGTGTTTCTCTACCAACACAGTGCAGGATTTCCACCCTTTAGTGCAGCAGTGGGGCTGAAACTTGCACTTGGAGGCAGAAAGCGTCTGATAACCGCGCTGATGGTCTGTTGCTAGGCAGTAACTATGCAGCAGTCTCTCCTCACAGCTGCTTTAAAGCATCTCTATCCCTCTCTCTTCAGCCTGTTATCCTCACCCGTACCTTCCTTTACTCTCGGTTTTTCTCTCCTTCTCTTTATATGTTCTGTTTCTACGTCGTATCATCTTTATTCCTCCCTCCTCCTGTGCTTTCCGTCATCTTCCTCCCCCCCCCCCCCCCCACCCACCGCTCTGTAGTTCAGCGAGTGCAGAATTGTGCAGCTGTAGTTGAGAGCGTCTTCAGCTGAGCTAATGAGCCTCACCGGTGTAGACCGATCATTGGCGGCTGCTCATTTGAGAGAGGTCGACGGGCACCCTTGGGGATTTTAACTGATTGGCTTTTGGCCCTCCATTGTTCTGCAGTTTCTGTCAGCTTTCAGATTAGTATACATATGACCCCACTCTATACACTGACTTCTTGCCATTACTCCCCAATGAGCAAGACAATAGCAGACGAGCAACCGACCGAGATAATAGGGGCATAGCAGACGAGCTGCAAGGATTTGACTCGCGCTTAGACTGGATCGCAGTTTTGTGGAATTTCTTTGCTCTATAGCTGAAAGTCTGTCCATATATTATTTTTTTTCCCCACTTCTTCTTGAAGTGTGTATGAATACCCATTAGTGATTGTGCATGAGCGCGGTCAGAGTGTTGGCCTGGAGAGAATCCTGGTTAACAATACGTACAAATTGGCAGATGCTGAATAAAGCGCATTAATAATATTATTTTGCAAAGTTGGTCATCTGTCTGTGGTCGGTTCTCTACGCTCATCAAACTTGCAGTCATCCGGTCCCTGCGTGAATACAGACTTCATGAACAGTATGTGCCGGTTTGTCCACAGTCACAGCTTCAGTTTTTTTTAAAAGCGCAGTTGGTCGTGCAGCGCAACAGGGACTTGTTTGCCTCCCTCTGTCTTCTTCTCTGCTGACATCGATACTGAAACCATGAATGAGTGGCATGCCTGGGTCATGTGATGGCCGGGTGGCTCTTGGTAATCCTGGAGCGTTCCATCTGGAGCAGGTCACTATAGTGGAGGCTATGAGAGGTTGGAGTGCCTCAGAGAATAATTTAAGAACAAACTACACTTTACATTTTTTACGACAAGGTTGAGCTGCTACATGTAATGAATATAATTTGTTTGTGACATGGCAATATATCTTCCCATAGTTTCTCTAGTTGTAGTGTTTTGGTGAATAGATTAGGTAGAATTGAGGCAGAATGGCACCTGCTATGACCACCCTGACTGTTTCTTCCATGCCGGGCACAGACAGCTGGGCGGCACATGTTGTCTGAAAGAGACCCCTAATATCCACTTCCTCTCTGACATTCAGGTTCGGGTAGATTTGCTTCCGTGCACATACTCGACCGGGCTTCACATTTGCTGCTGCACCTATTTACGATCATTACTCATGCTGTGAAAAAGTTTGTCATACCTTGTTGCTACTGCGGGGAGAAAAAAAAAAAAAAATCAGGGCGTGCTTGATTCATACAAAAGCAGGCTGACTGCATTGTTTGCACTGTAGGAATCCCTCTGCTGAGAGTTTCAGTCGGCAAAGGAAACGAAGAGACTCGGAGTTGCCGGCAATAATGTACATTTTGAAACGGAGGAGGCGTACATAAACAGTACAATAAGAAATGTCAGCTTATGTACACTCAGTGATTGTTGACTGAGGAAATTATCGGCATAAATATTGATGATTTAATCCCCGATGTTGATCTCTGTCTTTATGTCAAATACTGGATGTGCGCTTTGCGTAGACATTCATTTACTTGTGGACAATTTTCAAAACCACTATTATTGTTGTGCTAAATTAGCTAATAACCAAGTTAGTTAGTTAGTTACATTAGAGAAGTCTGTCTAGAAATGTGTTATTTTTGGGTACCATTGAGCCTACAGACTTATAGTTGAGCAATAAGTTGACATAAAAAAAGAGCTTGCACTAGAGTCTGGGATGATGATTTCAACATGAAGCTCTTTAGTGAAACTTAACTGTAGAATGCCGTTCTGGCTGGCACAAAAGTTTATTTAAAACAGAATTATTTCTGTTTGGTCTATAAGATGTCAGTAAATGGTAAAAAAAAACTGAAGAAAAAAGCCAGTTGCAAGTTAAAATGTTATGTCAATTTCAATAGTAGATGAAATACAAGGAAGCCCTGTTACAGAATGTACCCTTCTCACATTTCGGTGTGTTTTGAGTGGTGATAATGCCACATAAGTCAGACGGAGGTAGTGTATGGTCAGAGTCAATACATAAAAAAAAGTCTCATCCTCAAAAAATATATAGTTGTTACCTTCACTTCCATTGCATTTTGCAGGCTTCAACATAAATGTCTTGTAACTAATGCCGGTATTTATGTATTTGTTTCTACAGTGGAGTCTGGTGTGTGAATCAGCATGGAAAGTCCACATCGCCAAGTTTTCTCTCCTGGTGGGATCCATCTTTGGATACCTGACGTTTGGAATCCTTGCTGACTGGTAAGATTTTTGAAACAAAGTTCTTACACAACATACGGTTTATATTTCTTCGTATATTACAGGTGTATAAAACACATATTCACGTTGAAGGTGTCCCAATAGTCATTTTTACCTTGCTCCGTAGGTTTGGCCGCCACCCGGTGCTGATAATATCGGTGCTGTTCATGCTGGTGTTTGGTCTGACTGTGGCCTTCTCTGTCAACGTCCCCATGTTCAGCACCATGCGCTTCTTTGAGGGCTTCTGCCTGGCAGGGCTCACACTGTCTCTCTACGTCCTCAGTAAGTCTTTATCTCTCAACTAAAAGCTCTTTACTAACTTACCCATTGCCAAGCCATGTCCCCTTTATTGCTTTATTGCTACGCCTGTCAAGCTAGCGCAGCAAAAATGTAGTTTAACAAAGTTATAATAAAGAATACATCTGTAAAAGAATAAGATAATGAATGTGGAAATATAAAAAGGATTAAATAAAAGAATGTATAAAAAAATATATATATATGGAACTATAAAAGAATGATTATAAACATTTTCTTTTTTTTCACATTTATTTGTTAATTTATCTCTGTATGTATTTATTTGTGTATTTATTAAATACATATATAATATATATTGGTTTGGACTAAAATACATTATGTGAATCATCACAGACGTTATCTCAGATAACCCCAAACCTAGTTGATTGACAGCTTGGCCCTTCAAGGAATAGCAAGAGCTATATAAAAATATATAAATGACATTATATAAAAATGAATACATACAGAAAAAATAGACATGGTAATATTATATATATAGTGTGTGTAAATTAATAAATAATAGCAGCTTTTGTTGCACTGCAAGTTTTAAGCAACATTTTTGCTTGTTGGGGCTGAGTAAATATTTCAACATAATGACTAAAAAAAATCTAATTTCTCCTCATACCATATATCTCATACCTCCTAAAGAAAAAAGATTTTCAATTTGAATCAAAATCTGGCACAGCATAAAATGTTACATACTTAAAGTCAGTGTTGTAGAACTTTAAACCAGACAAGACAGACCTTAAAAGTTGTCTTGAGACCAGTCTGGAGATCAAGACCGATCTCAAGGTTTTTAATTCAAGACCGGTCAAGACCACAGCTGCAGGGATGTAACTAAATTGCCTGTGCAATGTCTGATTCATTTGTTAACATAGAAAAAGAAAATTGCCAGACTTAAAATTCACCTCTGCAATGCATTTTGATTGTTTTGTCAAGACATTGGATCTATCCGATTCGATTTCAAGAATGCCCATGGTGTGCATGATCTGTATTTTATCTTAAATGTGTCATGCAGGTTGGGACCTGTCTGGTCTTGGTCTTGACTCAGTCTTGCTCTGACTCGGTCCTGGTCTCGACTTGGTCTCAACTCCTCAAGATCTTGGTCTTGTCTCAGTGTCGACACACTCTGGTCTTGCTCATGACTTTGTATCGGTTTAGGTGGTCTTGACAACACACACATACTTAAGTACTGTAACATATTAGTATTGTGATAATGCTGTGATCATGTTGGCAATATTAATTTAACCCGTACCGCCCCACTCTTAATACTTATAGCCTCCCACTGATGCTGTTCTCTTTCCGACCATGCTGATAGACCTCATCAAAAGCCTAATCTACTTTTATTCCAGTCTCTTGCTGAGGGTATTATTCAGCTGAAAGAAGAGTAAATGTGTTGCAGTGACCTCCTAACATTTATTAAATTGAATGCCATTGTCGGGATAAATTCTCATTACAGAACAACAACCAGTACCAGCCTCATTACCCTTGAAGTGAACTCGTACATTTGCAGGCAGAAGGGGTTGTGGGGGCGGTGTGGTAACTTGTCTTCACTATAGTTTCCCCCCATCACTGCAGGAGGAGATTGGAATTTTCTCTCATTTTGTCGCTAGTTTTTTTTTTTGATAGCGTCCTGATAATTTGCTATGCAGCTAATGCACTCGCTGGTCTCAGCAATGGATCCTTAAAAGCCTCTTTGGCCGCAGTGATTGACTAGTGCAGAGGGAGGTGGCAAAAGTGGAGGGAAGGGAAGGATGAGAGGGAAGGAGCCAGGGCAGGAAGATGAAGGAAGGGGCCCTTAGTGTCCTTGTCATTCTAACTTACTCCACAATGTATCCCTTGAAAAGCTTCGCCCTGCTCCCAAAATAGAAGGACCGTTTAGTCTGCTCCCAGGACAAAGGAGAGAGGGTGGGACAGAGGGAGGCAAAATGGTGGAGTTAAGCTGTTCAGTATGGTGTCCTATCAATTTTAAATGAACTTGACATCTGCATCCATTGTTTTCACATCAGCCTACAGTTTATGGTCCAGTAAATCAGAGGCTCTGAACCTTGTGGATGGAATATAATGGGAGTTATTGGGGGGAATACTCTCTACATCTCTACTATAGAAGCTAATTGGTTGAATTAGTAAGTTGTAAATAGGTATAGCCTCAGACTTGATACTGCAGTTCTTAGTCCGTATTTTTTCATCTTGTCGTATACAAATATGCGTCAGTTTAAATGTGTTGGCCATCGTAAAAGGTAAGATTCATCTGACATCTGTTCTGCATTGTGGTGCAGTGCAAGTGCTCAACTTGAGCAAGGCTTAGTTGGACAGATGTTTGTTTGAGCTTTGCATATTTGTATAGGTTTTGTGTTGCTGTATCGCCGCCCTTATTTCTGCTTATGTGTGGCCTCTGTCACATGATATTTACCCTGCAGCCTCTCTGTATTGACAAAACTCCAGGAGAGCGGCTCCAAGAGGAGGAGCACAGTCGTTAGATAACACATTACTGGGGAGAAGCTTTGTTTTTTCGGTGTTCTGTTTAGGATGTGTTTTGCATTTGCATGTCAGTTGGCCTCATGCTAAGAGTGTAGCAAAAGCTCATTTTCCTTATAGTCCTGACACTGTGTTAGTCATATGACATGTTTGCATGTAACATTGTGAACCACATGACTCTCCTTTTGGGGCCTTACTTTGTTTGAGTCTGCTTACAAAGGAAAGTCCGAGCCAAGTCCCAGCTTCGGCTGTGTTTGCACCGGAGACATTACACTAATCCCCTTTTTCTCATCAGTCCATACGCAATTAAGTCGAAGTTCATGGATCTTGACAGCCGGGTGCCATTGAATGCTGCACTTTACGATCTAGAAAATAGCAATGCAATGATCGCAAACCTTGTGTTTGTTTGGAAAGAATTTCCTTGTGAATGTATGGTTTTAGAGTAATCAGACGACAACCCCCCTATATGACCTCCTTGTGCCCTGGAGCTATCATTGAGAAAATCCATTGAGTTTTCATGGGCGAGCCTCTTTTTAAGAGCGTAGAGCAATTTGTGCGCGGCTGCTATCTGCTCCGCCAGGATGGCCTGTCCAAGTCAGGCCCACTGCAGCGCCCAACATGGCTGATATGATGTGCCACCTACACGTTAACTGCCACAAAGAGACAGAACAAAAAGGGAAATGAGAATTGGTGGCCGGCTGGTTTCAGACCAAAGGAGAGAATAGCGACCAGCAACTAATAGGAGTAGATCAAATGGTAACTTAAGGACTGAGAGGAATGTTGAAACTCCACAAGGGATGGAGAAAGCAAGATTTACCACCTCTGATTTTGAAGAATGCTCGACTAAGAGGCAAGATACCATTACATCACCGCCACAAGTCTTTCTGTACGTTAACATTGAGCTCTTTCACAAACTAGGCTAATGCGTAGTACATTGATCTATCTATAACATTGTGACAAAGTATAACAGCACAATAGCAAAGCCGATGGCTATAGAAAGTCATCTGATGCAGCGCTGCTATTTTTACCCCAGTGCTCCATCAATGTGTGCTAGCCTTTTTAGCATCCCAGCAACAGGCAGAGGCAAGGCTCACAGTGCCGATAGCTTAGCATTGTGCAACTCACTCATTCTTAATGTTTTTTACAGTAAACAAACACCCTCACCTTTCCAACCCCCGACCCTCGCCCGCCATCCCCTCACATACAACCACATTGCTGCACATCAGCGAGCTGAGTCATGCTAGCTGGCTGCACTGGGTGTTTTGTGAGGGAATTTAGTGATCAGTTTGAGACGAGGTGATCAGATACTTTTCTAGACATAAATTGATTTTCTTTCTCCCTGAAGTATTTATTCACACCAAAAATAGCAGTATTATTACAGCGACAAAAGAACACATAGTCTTTTTTAATTTTTTTTATTGTGGGCTAGTGTGCGGTTTCTGTCTACAAGACTATGTGTGTTCACGTGTGTGTGTTCACAACGTAATGGTTTTCATCTCACACCTTTATTTTCCTGAAAGCAACTATTAAATGTTAATAAGAGGCAGGACGTTTACTTTGAGAAGTCTGTATAATGGCCTTACGGTAAAGAGCAAATTAATTTTGAGTGGAGTTCTTCTTCACTTTCCTGACTGGATGAGACGAGGCAAGCCTCTACATGTCATGGGTGTGTGTTTGTGTGTGTGTGAGAGAGGCCTTGTAGAGTGAGATACAGATGCAGAAAGACTACAGAAAGACAACATGACTCATGTATAATAAAGAGCTTTATAACTTCCCTGTCGATACCCTTTGCCATACATACTCATGACTGCTCTGTGTGTGATGATCTACAGGGAAAAAAGCATTTTTTTTATGGAGGATGTCCTGGGACAAACTCAAGATAACGGTTGAGGTTTGGAGAAATGGCCAGCTCAAAAAGTCACTCACTATATTTTGATATGGGATGGTGTATTCTTTTGGGGTTTGACTCGCTTTCTCACACATTCCTGATTTCTGAGCTGTTGCTTAATCTAGCCAAGGGGGATTTCCCAGTAGTATTTGATGTTTTTGTAATTCAACATTTAAAAAGTGTAGTTTACGCATCAATGTAGAATTCATTTGGGAAACTTCACCTTTTGCAATGCGCCACAACATGCCAATAATGGAACTACTCCATGTGAATAAATGACCTTGGTGTCCCGACTGATTTTAGTTCTGTGGTTTTGTATCGAGCCTTCGCTAAAATTCGCACTGCATATACATTATTTTTGTTGTCCCAAGTTCGTTTGATTTTGTTAATATTTACGGTCTCCGCTCGTGGAAACTTGTCACGTCTGGGAGAGAAGATGGAGGACAAGGAGAGAGAAATGAACTAAATAAGCACGAGAGAAACAGGCTGTCTGACAGAAATGTATCACATTTACGTTTAGGCCATGCATGTTATATGGCCTAATTTTAGCAAATGTCATTTCTAAGCGAAAAAAAGTCTTTATTCATTCCTTCATTTCATTTATATCCGCGCAGTAATATTG